CAGCCATTGAGCTGGAAGTGAGCGCAGAGCAGGCCCCCAGGCTGGGGGCTAGCAGCCCGCTGCCCTCCCAGCCGGCCGCTTCCTGCAGGAGCATGGGAGGCCCCCAGGGCTCTGCTCTCGCCCTTCAGCCTCTGGCTCCATAGATCAACCTGGAGGAGATGGAAATGCAATACCCAGTGATACCCATTTTCACCTCCAGCCTCGGATCCTCCCAGCCCGCCCCTCCTCCCTTGCAGGCTTTCCCTGGCAGTGAAGTGGTTAACGCTGGAGTAGAAAACATCATAATTGGACATCCGCACTAACAAGCCATAAACACGAATGTGGCAGTTCCCATCCTCGGCTCTGGCACCGGCCTACCACAGGCTCTGCCGTGGAATCCCTCACACTTGGTTTATTTCATAAAAATTTCCTTCGTAACCATTAAACAGCGAGAGACACGGGACAGGCCAGGGAGGGGGATGCCAAGAGGCTGGCACCCATCACGGTCATCCCCAACCAACCTGGTGGGAGGTCACTGACCCACTGCCCTCGGGGCTCTGCCTGGGAGCGGGTACCATCCTGGGGGATGCAGGACACCGGGCACTGCCCGCCCGGAGCTGGGTGACAGCATCCCCATCCCTCCCCAGGGAGCTGGCAATGGGACCTGTGCTGGGGGCAATGGGTGAGCTGGGTGGGCAAAGCCTGGCTGTCAAGGAGCTGCCCTGGAAAAGCCACTGGTTTAACAACAGCCGAGATCCAACGTTGAGACAGAGGCTGCAGCGTTGAGTGATGCTGCTGCTGGCAGAGCGGGGTCCTCTTCTGCTCCCTCGGTGGGAGAGGGAGAATCATCTGAAACAAAAGGATTCAGCAGAGGAGGAGGAGGAGGAGGCAGCGCAGGGGCCTGGGCACCGCTGCACCCACCGAGCGCAGGGGAAGGGGGGCTGCGGGGCACCCACCCAGCTCCCGGGGGACTCACTGCCGGGGGGGGTCCCGTAACTTGCGCCCGGTAACGGAGCTCCGGGGGCCGGGGTGGGCCGGGCTGGGCTGCGGGTCCCCGGGCCGTACCGTGCCGCTTTCATCCCCCCACCCTGAGCTGAGTCTCCCCGGATGGGTTACACCCCCCACCCCCCCCCGGGGCTGTACCGTGCCGAGGATGCCCGGGCGGGTTGCATCCCCCCCGGGGGCTGTACCGTGCCGTACCGATCCGTACCGAGCCCTGCCGCCGGCCGTGCATTCTCGCCGCTCTCCAGCAGGCGCCCGGCCCTGGACATTGTCTTCTTCCTCCGGGAGGAAGGGCCCTCCCCGGCCCTTCCACAATGTGCTCTTCCAGGCGCGCCCCCCC